CTTCTTCCTCGCATCCGCCGCCGACCCGCCCGTCCCGGACGAGGTTAGTAGCACACACACCTGCGACTAGCTACGATACGACGGCGTGTCTTGACGACCTGCGTTTTGTTACCAACCGGCGGCTGACTCTGTACGCACATGCGCGCTCAGGTCGCGCAGCTGATGTCGGCAATGTGTCTCCGGGAGGCGCTGACGCTGGTGCGGACGGTGCTGTGGCTGCTGGGCACGCGGCTGGGGACGCTCGCGCTGTGCGGCGCGCGGTGCCTATCGTGGAGCTCCCCGTTCGTGCAGCGGTTCGCGGAGATGCCGGTGGACCGGCGGGAGGACGCGCTGCGCCGGTGGAGCCGGGAGACCATGCTCCCGCCTCTGCGCCTCTTCTTCCTCCTCGTCAAGGTCTTTTGCCTCTACGTCTTCTACTCCTGGGTAAGCAGAGCACGCACGCCTACTGACTGGGTACTTTTGTAGCACTACTACTATGTCCAGTTTGCAAATGGAAACATTAGCTAGCTTCTCGCGTGCATTGCAGCGGCAGGCGGCAGCGTGTATACGAGTATATTTGTGGTGGTGCTGTAGTGTACGATCTTGCTGTTGGCCATGGCGCCTCTGAGCGCGCGCGGCACAGCGCAATAATGGACGCATGCATGCACGCTGTGTAGCAGCCAGTGTACCACCGCTTTCATGAGAGTCTGACGAAAGGCCACGTACTCTTTGTGGACATCGGGAGGTTCGTCAGTAATCATTTTACTCGTTGGGCCGAACGTGTGAATTTTAGGCTTACAGCGCGACGGATCCCATGCCCTACGAATCACCGCCGCAGCGCTGCTTTTTTCTTCGGAGTATAGGGAGTTTTTATTACAAGTTCACAGTGTTATTACAATTAAAAGGCCATAAGTCCTTCATACATGGTGAAACCGAACGTAACCACACAGCCGGCCGTGGCCCTCTCGGAGCGGCTATAATTGGCCAATCGATCCGCCGCAGCGCTGCTGATGGCGATACATCAGTGGATTCATGCCGACCGTGATGTGCACCGGTGGCCGTTGGTTATTTACCATATAATAATTCAATAGAATGAGACGTGTCCCCGTTTTTAGACTTTATTGGTGGTTGGAGACTTGAAGCACAGCAAAAAGAGTGAGAATTTTCCATCAAAAAAGGGACAAGTTCCATACACTTGATGGCACAGGCACACTTAATTTCTTGCTGGGTTTTTCCCATTTTTTTCCCAAAATGTCTTGGCTGCGACTTCCGAACAATCTCACTAATTCTTCACCTTCTCCGACGAGACCAATTGGGCCCGAATTTAGGAAGCGTGCTAAAAATAGATTTTAAGTTGAAAATGACAGCAACCAGCTCTGACAATGCAGTGGATTTGTTGAGTTGAAAATGACAGCAAACAGCTCTGATAATGGTGTTCCGTTTCCCGCAGACCAACGATAACTCGGAGAATCCTCACTGGCGAGCGATCGGCTACAGCCCGCCAACCGACGAGCCTACGGAGCAAGAAGATCAGGCAAACACCAAGCGGCCACTCGACGACGGCGTGGTCGAGACCATCCACCAGACCGACGCGTCCCTCCCGACCAGCCTCGCCGAAAAGGGCCTCGCGGTGACCGAGGACGCGGCGCGGAACGTGTGCAGGATCGAATGCGATGTCGTCATCGTCGGCTCCGGCTGCGGCGGGGGCGTGGCCGCCGCGGTGCTCGCAGGGGCCGGCCACAAGGTGGTGGTCATCGAGAAGGGGAGCTACTTCACGGCCAGGGACTACACGTCCATCGAGGGCCCGTCGATGAGCCAGCTCTACGAGTACGGCGGGTTCGTGAGCACGCTCAGCGGCAGCGGGCTCCTCCTGGCCGGCTCCACGGTCGGCGGCGGCTCGGCCGTCAACTGGTCGGCCTGCATCAAGACACCCGACAGCGTGCGCAAGGAGTGGGCGGCCGCGCACGGCCTGCCGCTGTTCGGCAAGCCAGAGTACACCGCCGCGATGGACGTGGTGTTCAAGCGGCTTGGCGTCACGTCGGGCTGCAAGGAGGAGGGGCTCCAGAACAAGGTCCTGCGCAAGGGGTGCGAGAAGCTGGAGTACAAGGTCGAGCCGGTGTCGAGGAACTCGTCGGAGGGCCACTACTGCGGCAGCTGCGGGTACGGCTGCCGCACCGGGGACAAGCGCGGCACCGACACGACGTGGCTGGTCGACGCGGTGGCCCGCGGCGCCGTGATCCTAACGGGTTGCAAGGCGGAGAAGCTGCTGTTCACCGACGCGGCCGGTGCGAGGGGGAAGAGGTGTGTCGGCGTAGTGGCTACGAGCTCCAACCCGGCGATCACGAGGAAGCTGGAGGTGCGCGCCAAGGTGACCGTCGCAGCGGGCGGCTCGCTCCTCACGCCGGTGCTGCTGCGCGGCAGCGGGCTCAAGAACCCGCACATCGGCAAGAACCTCCACCTCCACCCGATCGCCATGGCGTGGGGCTACTTCCCGCCGGACAAGATGCCGGAGCTGAAGGGCAAGATGTACGAGGGCGGCATCATCACGTCCCTGCACAAGGTGGAGGCCGCCGTTGACGGGCTGCCGCACCGGGCCATCCTCGAGACGCCGCTGATGGGCGTGGCCGCCGCGGGGACGCAGTTCCCCTGGGTGTCCGGGCGCGACATGAAGGAGCGGATGCTCAACTACGGCCGGACGGTGCACATCTTCTCCCTGGTGAGGGACCGCGGGTCTGGGACGGTGCACGGCGAGCGGCGGATCGCGTACCACCTGGACCCGGTGGACAGGGAGAACCAGCGCGAGGGGCTGCGGCGGGCGCTGCGCATCCTGGTGGCGGCCGGCGCGACGGAGGTCGGCACGCACCGGAGCGACGGGCAGAGGCTGAGATGCAAGGGCGCCACGGACGAGGAGGTGGAGGAGTTCCTGAACGGCGTGACCGGGGTGCGCGGGCCGCAGTCCAAGAGCGAGAACTGGAGCCTGTGCTGCACGGCGCACCAGATGGGCAGCTGCAGGATGGGCGCGACGGCGGGGGACGGCGCCGTGGACGCGCGCGGCGAGAGCTGGGAGGCGGAGCGGCTGTACGTGTGCGACGGCAGCGTCCTGCCGAGCGCGGTGGGCGTCAACCCCATGATCACCATACAGTCCGTGGCCTACTGCCTCGCCACCGGCATCGCGGAGCAGCTGAAACGCGGCCCCTCCTCCGGGAGAAACCACTCCACAGATTAATAATAGTTGCGGCACGTACGCGGAATAATAAGTTTGGGTCTTGTTTGTGATACAAGAACGTTGCGGGTCAGTTTGGACGTACGGTTATCCTAACTTTCCATCAGATTCCTCAATTGCTTTTTTTTTTTAACATCGTCGGTACAGACGCAAGCACTAAGCACTCGGATGAACGCACACACGCACATCCTATCCCTATGAATACAAATCACCATAGGCGCCTCGTCGTCGACGAAAACGTTTCCTCCCACTGAAAGCACATCGCCAGGACTTGAACTCTGGTGGGTTGAAAATACCACAATCTCTCTAACCATCCAACCACTCCTCAATTGTTGTACATATGGCAGGCATGTGGCAAAATTACGAAGTGTCGCGTACTCATCTTGGTCTGAGCAGTACTGCCTCCATGCTTGAAAAGAAGATCTATACATTTTGATTGAAATCAAATGGTACAAAGATTTAATTGAGTTCACAAAAATATATCAACAACTACAATATCAAAATACTATCATTTTTCTGCGGGGTAAAAAATAGTATCATTAAATGCAATAAAATATTGATTATGCATATCTAGTGTCGTATTTGTTGATTTTTTTAATTGAACTTTACAACATTTGATTTTAGACAAAACTTTCAAGCTATGGCCAATTGGTATTGGGCATTCATTCGAGTCATTTTTCTTCTCCGCATGGAAAAGCATGGGGTAAAATTGCATTTATCGTTTTTATGCCCTAAAAATGTATGAATGGCACAAGTTAGCGCAGTGCCACAGCTCGCTCGACAATTTTGTAGCGAAGTGCTTTTTTCTCGGTGGGTACATCATAGCAAGATGGTTCCTGGACGGGCGAACAATATGCCATAGCCTTATAGCCAGCAGTAAGGGCATCTCACATCTCGAATGGGAGATGCTAGGAGAAGCGCCTGGATCAATTTCCTGGCGATTTCCCCGTCGATCGGCAGTTGGACGCTGGAATCCTGGCATCAAACGCTACTTAGGCCTTGTACAATAGAATATGCTTAGGGAAGGTGCTTATAAAAAAATAAATCAGATTTTTCTTAAGCACCGATGCTTATTTCTACAGGCTAAGCGTTTTTCTGTAGAAATAGACACCGATGCTTTAGAAAAACAGATGCCCTAACAGACCACACCCATGGGCTGTTGGACCACGTACGGGTCATCGACTGTACAAGCTCATATCAAGGCCAGAACATTGACACATGAAACCACTGCGGAAGCAACACCTCGACTGGCAAGGACAATACTAAAGCAGTAATTCAAGATTTATCTGGATCAAAAGACGTTCGTTCAATCGGCACTATATAGAAGAGAGAAGACAGGTGGAGCCTGGAGAAGAGTGGCCTGACCGGGTTAGCAGTTTCACCCAACCCCCAACAGAGGAAACAGGCTCATATACAAGAGAGCGTGCAAACTTGGTGCGGTATTAAAAATAACCCACTAAAGAAATTTCAGTTTGTATGATTGTAACAGCTTAGACTGCGCAGTTAAGATGCAAGATGCAGTAATTGACAGGGCAAATGAAGCGTCAACATGTACCGTGTTGATCCGCACAAAACAGGTAAATCCTACTTGAACTTCATAACAGTGGCTGCTCAATTTTGTGCCCATATAGGTTTATTAACACAAAGATCACAAGTTTGAAGGAAAACTCAAAGTGGAATCACTCCACTTCAAAAAAAAATATACTTCAAGATTTCGGCCCCCAAAATCACCAAGAGAGCACCACTCCTCTTGTACCAGTGAAAACAGAACTTTAGACTGATATGGTACAATCATTAATCATTTGACTGATGCTTTTACAGCCTTCTCTGCAGCATCATCAAGATCCTCTGCAGTGATCAATGTCATTCCACTTTCCTGCAATCAGAGCACCATGACCAGTCAAATCCCAAACATGAACAACTTCAGAACAAAGGAAGCATGACTCAGTTAACACGCATGCACAAAGATGATCACCAATACCTTAAGAATCCTTTTCCCTTGGTCTACATTGGTGCCTTCTAGCCGAACAACAACAGGGACCTTAAGATCAACCTGATAATAGGAGAACAAGTGTAAGAATTTGCTACAGGAAAAGTATGTAGACCAAGCTATGTAGTTGTAAGCTCAAGGAATATTAAGCCAAATAACATGCTATGTACTATCATTACATTCCTGGGGAACAATAACATGCTGAAAGGACTCTTCTAGCATACATCATGGGAAAATTACAAAATTATACACAGCGGCTAATCAGGTTCAGAACTTGATGAAATATCAGCAATACAGAAAAAATCTTTCGCAGAAGACACTAATGGTAACACCAAACTATCCTATAATGAAACCACATACAATAAAGTATGCACAAAAAATATGGGATAGTTTGGTGTTACAAAAAAAACGAGCAGATAACTGAAACAAATATTGACTTGTACGTTAAGAGTTAGTTTCTGAAATGGTGCAAATAAACTGTACCTAAGTTCAAGATAAGGTTCCCCACAGAAAGAAATAAACACCGAATAAGGGAAAATAATTTACTAAAAACAGGCTACAAGAATATGGTGTATTCATTCAATCAAAACTTGATAGATACCTGTTTAGCTGCATTCACTATTCCACTTGCTATCACGTCACATTTCATGATACCTCCAAAAATGTTCACTAGAATTGCCTTCACTCTATCGTCTGAAGTCAATATCTTAAATGCTTCCACAACCTGAATAGAAGTTATAGAAAAATGAACATGTGCATTTGTTGAAAACAAAAGGTGGAAACACAATTCTTCACATGGATTTTAAGTAATTAATCATTAATTTTTGCAACCTCTTCTAGCTGTTAATAGTATTTATACATTTCTCCAGTGATGATAATTACAAACAAACAAACAAAATCCCACTATATACCTGTCCCTCGGATGCACTCCCACCAACATCAAGAAAATTGGCAGGTGTACCACCATGCAGCTTAATGATGTCCATCGTAGCCATTGCCAATCCTGCACCATTCACCATGCAACCAATCTCTCCATCAAGCCCGATGTAGTTCAAATCTGCTTTAGCAGCAGCCACCTGTAAAGTTGGTAAAGATAAATCTCAGTTGATATTGCTCTTATATTTGTAACAAAAATATAATCTATAGAGGCAAATCTTCCTTCAAAAGAAGGGTTAGGGGATTACAAAATTACAAAATAAAGAAGAGAAAACAGTTTAACAGAGAGACAAAATGAACATGAAAAAGGTATTAAAGAAAAGAGCAACACACGAAATACCTCTCTGGGGTCCTCCTGTGTTGTATCACGCAGTGCAAATATTTCTTTCTGCCTAAACGCAGCATTATCATCGAAGTTCAACTTTGCATCAGCAGCAACTAGCTTTTTATCAGCTGTCTCGGCAAGAGGATTTATCTACTCACATAAGAAATCCAGATCATAAGAATGACAAAGATATTTAACATCGCAAATGAGAAAAACTTCACACTGCAGTACCTCCAGCATTGTGCAGTCGGTCTTGCAGAAAAGTTCATATAGCTTCTTAATCTGTTCTATAGAAGATTGCCTGTCTGCTGTCTTTGGTGCCAGACCATCAACAACTTTAGCTGCATCCTCATCAGTGATTCCCTTGAATACATCAACAGGAACCTGGTAATATAATGAATTGGATTTCAATGTGTAAGCAAATTATCATTAGGACGCTAAAAGCTCTGATATGACAAGTGAACCTGCTACTCAAGATATGTACGCATTGATCCAAAATCAAGTTGAACAAATAGATGACCTTAACAATCTTATCAGGGAACTTCTCTGCAAGATCTTCAATGCTCGTTCCTCCCTCGGCGCAAGCTATAATGAGCTGAAAAAAATAAATATGAGCCTTAGCAATCAGCACTAGAAAAAAAATATCACAGCATGAGTCTCTGCAATTGAAACAGGGAAGAATGGACATTAAGTAGCTACAGGTTTGATTGATTAAGTACATTATAGGGTTTAGAAAAAGTAAAGCGGCCAAAACAACTAAGAACACTCAAGGTTCACATCACCCCAAATGTTCAGTTCATACCTATATCAGAACAAATACAGAAGTAGAAAGAAAATATCGCTGCGTGGCATCAAAAAACTGTACAAGAAACTTGTTTAATGATACATCCAAAATTTAAGCAACTTAATACAGTGAAATACTAATGTGACAGCCTGTTATTAGGTGGCTAAAGATTAATGTGAAGGTTTACCATATAATGGTATTTTTTAACGGAAAACTGAATAATATATACATTAATCACTTCAATGAAATAATTGAGGTAACTTGCTATGTAGGGACAAAAGAGGAACACTATTCCCATGAAAATACGATCTATATTTTTCATGTAAGCATATTCATGCACACAATCTTATAAATTATCATGGATCGACATCCTAAACAAGTCTGGAATAAAAACAATCAACAGCACTAACAGCTATTTCCTTTGGCACTTATACATGAGAAAGGTTTGTAATACCATGAAATCTTTTAAAAACAATATAGACCGCACTGATTTATTCACAAAATGGAACAGATGCTGGGTAATAAAAATGACAAAATAAACAAGCAGGCCATTGATCAATGACATACTGGACCAGCAGTCTTCCTATCAAGGGTGATCGCAAAGTACATCTCATTAACAAGTGACATTTTCTCACATAAGTAGACCTGTCATACAGAACAGAAAAAATATCAGTAGTTAAAAATGTTTCACCGAATCAAGCAGAACTAAATAACAGCAGCATTATTTGAATATCGTTTACCTGAGAAGTTGAAATGCTAATGCACTATTGTCTTAAAAATAACTCAAAAAAAATGTTGTAGATTAACTATTGTCATTGCACGGCAAGAACACTGGGTACGGTTATATGGCCCATTCAACTGTATATTATTATTGTGTGTTACTTCATTGAACATAAGTACACCGGAATTAGTGCATACATCATACATCTAAACATTGATAGAAACAAGTCAGGTGAGTATCAAGCCCGTGGAAGCCAAAACTTGCTTACTGAAGAGTCACGGAATACCTAAAACGTTAATTTCTAGCAATGCTACATAACACAACTGAAAGATGGGATCAGATTAGAAAAAACTAACCTTGCCCACAACCTTCCCCTGTGGACCAGTTTGTTTTGTTACTAGGACCTGGTTAAGCATTTTAGCTGCAGATGAGTCAGTACAAACACTCTACAGTGAAAACATGCACAACCAACACAGAAGTAACTACAATTTAGTTGATTCACTCTGAAGAAAATGACTAATGACAACACTACATGTGACTAGAAATCCAATGGTGCAAGTTCAAATGGGAAGGCACATTCACTCAGAACAAAAACATTAAATAATAAACCACTTATAGCCGGCAGCAAAGGCGTGGATACAACATATTACCTCTGTACCAAAATATAAAACGTTTTGGTAGGCCAAACGCCTTATATTTTGGTATGGAGGTAGTAGATTCCAAGAAAAGATCACCAAAAATAAATCAGTTTAGTTAAACCTGAATGTAATTATCATGTCACGCTTCATAGAAGCACGTGACCTTAAGTTGCAGTTTTCACTGTCACAACTGATAAATGTGATGACAACAATTTAGACACAACCAATAAAATGAACTGATCTCAGTTATATTATATGCTTGGCCTTCATGTGTATGTATAGTTGTATACCATAAAATTGGCCAGGTGGCGCGCATTTATAGTATACTGCAGTCAGGAATGATAATGATTATGCATAAATGTGGATTTGTCAAGCCAATTTCCCAACGATACATCTCAACAAATACTTGGATACACAACATCTTCAAACTGCATTACTACACCATGAATGTGCAGATACCATAATGTAAACTACAACTCACAAAGATTTACCTGCAAGGCTTTCAGCCTCCTCAGCCTTAACAATATGGACACCACCCTTCAGTCCACTTTTGAAAGTTCCCAATCCACGGCCACCGGCAAGGATTTGGCTTTTCACAACTATCTGCAATGGCGTCATCTTTTAAACACAATTGAACTACGATAATAACATGGTGGAAGCTATGATACAAACAGCACCAGAAATACATTATCGATGAAAATCTACTATACTTCGTATTGGGAATGAACTGCCCGGCCAAACAATCTGCTGGCACAAGGATAACTAACAAGGCTACACGAGTATTTAGCTGCAGAATACTGAGAAGAAACCGGGACGTCGTCTCAGTTAATTAAAATAGCTTTTGGAGAAAAAATAGACTATTTCTTAAGAGTTCATAACGTTAGCAAAAAAACTATGCCAACAAATCATTATAATTCCAAGAGCAGCTATAGCTTGACATGACTCACTTTGTTTGAAGTGCGGTGGAGTGATTTACACATGTAAGTAGTGTTACTTTTAACACACAGAATAATATACAATACAGGCGTACGAATTGCCAGAATGAGGCTATCAGAATACGCACACATTATAGATTATAGCAACCAATAACCTCCTTTCCAAAATGTATCACACATCACAGCAACATTACCAAACCAAACATATATTTCTACCAACCTAACCCGGATTCAGCAGGATTTCGCGGTAAACTAGATTCACTAACACATTTCAATACCATCTGCACAGCACGAGCCTCGCATTTGCACGAGTGAAGGATAACAAGGACACGAAAAAAAAAGCATTAGAAACCTAGGTAGCATCACCTCTTTCTCACTGGGGAAGACGTTCTTCAAAACTTCCTTGACCTCCTGCACTGACCCCACCACCGCGCCCTTGGGCACGTTGATCCCGAACTTCCCCATCAACTCCGCGCCCTGTGAAACCAACATAAGCCAGTCCGGCAGAAACCCTAGCTTGTCAGACGGGCCTCCAAATCGAAATTCAACGAATCCGCACAAATACGAATCGAGGAGAATGGGGGAGGAACGGCGGGATCTGGACGCAGGCACCTGGTACTCGTGGATGTTGAGGCGGCGGAGCTGCTGGTGCTGCCATTTGCCGGCGACGGAGAGGGTGCGCGACGCCAACCTCCCGAGCGATCCGCGAACCATGGCTGCGGCGGCTTGGGCTCCTCCGATCCGGAAACCCTACGGGCGTGGAGGAAGGAAGGGATGCTGTTTCGCTCCTCCTCTTTGCGGGTCTGATGTTATTCTGTTCTCCCCTCCCCTCCCTTTTCTTTCTTGCGGAAGGGTGCGGCTGCGCCGAGCAAATGGACTGGTTCACGTCGAAGGGACCGCTGATTTAGGATCACCGTCGTTTGACTGACATGTGGGTCGACATAACGTGGGGCACACCTGTCATTGGCTAATGACGAAGTTGACGTTTGTTTTTTAGGGTGAAAATATGCTAAAGAGTTTTTCTTTTGACAAAAATATGAATGAGCCAGCCGGCCCATCGTCCGATGGGTTGAGATCCTCTGCAGTACCGTATGGTGCTGTAGTGTCAATGACATGTGGGATCAGGTCCCACATGAGCAGTGACTGTACAGCACCGTACAGTACTGCAGAGGATCCTAACCCTTGTCGGATACTCCTAACTGTTCACTATGGGCCAACAAGGCAGAGATGTGTGTGGTGCCCATGTGGCAGCCCACGAAAGCTCCAATTGGACCAGCAACTTATGAAAGCTTTACCGCTCCTCGGCCTTGTGCAAAGAACGTTCTATAACGCTCGACCTTTTTTTTATTGCAAAGAACATTCTATCTTTTTTCCGATGGTGACAAGTGACACATCGTGTGTACCCTCTTGTCGCAACTTGTGAAGCAATTACTTCTCACGGGAGAGACCGTGGGTTTTGTTTCTGTTTCCTTAGTGGCGGCTGCTAGGCGCCATCCGGATGTACCGAAGAAAAGAACATCCGTCTCTCCACTGCCCGATTAATCCTGATCAGAGCATCCCTCTGGTCTAAGCCGACGCCGTCAAACATCGGCGTACTCGCTTGCACGATACATCTTCGTCGTATCTGTAATTTTTTATTGTTCCATGCCGATATTATACAACTTTTATATACTTTTGGAAACATTTTATATTTTTTTTGGGACTAACATATTGATCCACTGCCTAGTGTCAGTTCCTGTTTGTTGCATGTTTTTTGTTTCGCAGAATATCCATATCAAACGAAGTCCAAACACAATAAAAATTTACGGAGATTATTTTGGAATGTATGTGATTTTTGGGAGGTGGAATCAACGCAAAGGGAGACCCACGGCCTCCACAAGACACTAGGGTGCGACCCAGCCCCCAGGCGTGTGGTGGTGGGTGGTGGCCACCTCGTAAGGCGGTTGCTGCTCTACTTCAGGCGCAAGGAAGTTTTTATCCGAAAAAAACCGTGTTAAAATCTCAGCGCAATCGGGGTTACGGATCTCCGGATATTTAAGAAACGGTTTTCGGCCAGAAAACTGGAACGCGAAATAGAAGAGAACAAAGAGATAGATCCAATCTACGTGGGGCTCCTGCCCCTCCGTCATCATGGAGGCCATGGACCAGAGGGGGAACTTTCCTCCCATCTAGGGGGGCAAGGAAGAAGAAGAATGAGGGGGGCTCTCTTCCACTCTCTTCCGGTGACGCCGGAGTGCCTGATGTCTGCTAGAACTACGTCGATATTTCCCCAAAGAGGAAGGGGTGATGCAGTATAGTGACGGTAGGTATTTCCCTCGATGATGAGACCAAGGTTATCGAACCAGTAGGAGAACCTCCTCACACCACGTAAACAACATCTACACACAAATAACAAATACTCGCAACCCGACGTGTTAAAGGGGTTGCCAATCTCTTTCGGGTACGGTGCCTCAAGATAGGCAAAAATGTGAGGTAAAAAGTGGTCGATAGGATAAATAGATCGCGAAACAAATAAATTGCAACAAGGTATTTTTGTGTTTTTGTTTAATAGATTTAAAAATAAATGCAAGAAAAAATAGATCGCAAAGGCAAATATGATGAAAAGTGACACGGGGGCCGTAGGTTTCACTAGTGGCTTCTCTCGAGAAAAATAGCAAACGGTGGGAAAACAATTATTGTTAGGCAATTGATAGAACTTCAAATAATTATGACGATATCCAGGCAATGATCATTATATAGGCTCACGTCCAAGATTAGTAGAACGACTCCTGCCTGCATCTACTACTATTACTCCACACATCGACCGCTGTCCAGCATGCATCTAGTGTATTAAGTTCATGAGAAAATGGAGTAATGCAATAAGAACGATGACATGATGTAGACGAGATCCGTTTATCTATTGCGGCAGATATAGATCTCATCTTGTTATCCTTAGTAGCAACGATGCATACATGTCGGTTCCCCTTTTGTCACTGGGATCAAGCACTGTAAGATCGAACCCACTACAAAGCACCTCTTCTCATTGCAAGATAAATAGATCAAGTTGGCCAAACAAAACCCAAATATCGGAGAAGAAATACGAGGCTATAAGCAATCATGCATATAAGAGATCAAAGAAGACTCAATTAACTTTCATGGATAAAAACATAGATCTGAACATAAACTCAAAGTTCATCGGATCCCAACAAACACACCGCCAAAAGACTTACATCATATGGATCTCCAAGAGACCATTGTATTGATAATCAAGAGAGAGAGAGAGAGGAAGCCATCTAGCTACTAACTACGGACCCGTAGGTCTATGGTAACCCACAAGTATAGGGGATCACAACAATTTTCGAGGGTAAATTATTCAACCCAAATTTATTGATTCGACGCAAGAGGGGCCAAAGTATATTCTCAAGTATTAGCAGCTGAGTTGTCAATTCAACCACACCTGAAAGACTTAATATCTGCAGCAAAGTATTTAGTAGCAAAATAGTATGGAGGTAACGTTAACAGTGGCAAAATTAACAGTAGCAGTTTTGTAGCAATCGTAACAGTGCAACGGAGAAGTAACTAAGCAAAGTTCAATATGTGAAAAGCGCGTAGGCAATGGATCAATGATGGATAATTATGTCGGATGCAATTCATCATGCAACAGTTATAACATAGGGTGACACAGAACTAGCTCCAGTTCATCAATGTAATGTAGGCATGTATTCCGAATATAGTCATACATGCTTATGGAAAAGAACTTGCATGACATCTTTTATCCTACCCTCCCGTGGCAGCGGGGTCCTATTGGAAACTAAGGGATATTAAGGCCTCCTTTTAATAGAGTACCGGACCAAAGCATTAGCACTTAGTGAATACATGAACTCCTCAAACTACGGTCATCACCGGGAGTGGTCTCAATTTTTGTCACTTCGGGGTTGTCGGATCATAACACATAGTAGGTGACTATTGACTTGCAGGATAGGATCAAGAACTCACATATATTCATGAAAACATAATAGATTCAGATCTGAAATCGTGGCACTCGGGCCCTAGTGACAAGCATTAAGCATGACAAAGTCATAGAAACATCAATCTTAGAACATAATGGATACTAGGGATCAAACCCTAACAAAACTAACTCGATTACATGGTCAATCTCATCCAACCCATCACTGTCCAGCAAGCCTACAATGGGATTACTCACGCACGACAGTGAGCATCATGAAATTGGTAATGGAGGATGGTTGATGATGACGATGGTGATGGATTCCCCTCTCCGGAGCCCCGAACGGACTCCAAATCAGCCCTCCCGAGGAAGATTAGGGCTTGGCGATGGCTCTGTATTGTAAAACGCGATGAATCCTTCTCTCTGATTTTTTTTCTCCCCAAACATGAATATATGGAGTTGGAGTTGAGGTCGATGGAGGTCCAGGTGGCCCATGAGGCAGGGAGCGCACCCCAGAGGGTGAGCGCGCCCTGCACCCTCGTGGACAGGGTGTGGGCCCCCTTACGTTGATTCTTTCGCCAATATTTTTTATTAATTCCAAAAAGTGACTCCGTGAAGCTTCAGGTCATTCGGAGAACTTTTATTTCTGCACAAAAATAACACCATGGCAATTCTGCTGAAAACAGCGTCAGTCCGGGTTAGTTCCATTCAAACATGCAAGTTAGAGTCCAAAACAAGGGCAAAAGTGTTTGGAAAAGTAGATACGTTGGAGACGTATCAGTCTACAAAGAGCTACACACGCATCATAAGAGAGGCACCAATGGAAGTGGTGAACCCCTCCATGACAGTGTCTAGATTGGATCAGGCGGTTCTGGACTCTGCGGCGGCTGGATCAATATTTCATCGACTCCCCTAGGGTTTCTGGAATATTGTTGTATTTATAGGGCAAAGCGGCGGTTCGGGGGCCCCCCGAGGTGGGCACAACCCCCAGGGCACGCCTGGGCTTCCTAGCGCGCCCTGGTGGGTGCTGCTCCCCTCGAGCAGCCCTTCGGGTGCTTCCTTGGCCCATTGTCTTTCTTCTGGCCCAAAAAAATTCCTCCAGGAGTTGCGTTGCGTTTGGACTCCGTTTGATATTGATTTCCTGCGATGTAAAAAACATGCAGAAAATAGCAACTGGCACTGGGCACTATGTCAATAGGTTAGTACCAAAAAATGATATAAAATGGTTATAAAATGATTGTAAAACATCCAAGAATGATAATATAACAGCATGGAACAATCAAAAAATATAGATACGTTGGAGACGTGTCAGCATCCCCAAGCTTAATTCCTGCTCGTCCTCGAGTAGGTAAATGATAAAAACAGAATTTTTGATGTGGAATGCTGCCTAACATGTTCATCACATTCTTTTCTTTATAGCATGGACATATTGACTTTTATATGATTCAAAGCAATAGTCTAGTTTTGACATGAAGACTTTAATACTCAAGCATACCAACAAGCCACCATGTCTTTCAAAATATCAACACTAAAGCAAGTTATCCCTAGCCCATCATGCCCAATCATTGATCCATTCATAAAACACACTCGAATATTAGCTACACCCAATGCTTAAATACGATCATAGTGCCCCTTAGTTGGTGCTTTATAAGAGAAGATGGAGACTCAAATTCAAAATACAAATTGCATAAGTAAAAGAAAGGCCCTTCGCGAAGGGAAGTAGTGATTTGTAGAGGTGCCAAAGCTCAAAGCTTAAATTGAGAGATAAAATTATTTTTGAGAGGCATAC